ATAGGTGGCAAATTCTAAAACTCCTTAAGAGAATTCTACTTTGTGTGCAATATTTAGATTCACCGAAGATCTTATTTCTGGTTTTTAGCCAGGGCCAGAACCCACTATCTGTAAGAGTCAACACAATTCAGCCTCTTAGTATGTACTGAAGTTGTGTACATGTCCCTATTTGTGTGTGTGTGTCTACGTGTACCGTATTTCATGCAAATGTGGGCATCTTTTACGTTTGTTTGCCAACCGTGCCCTCCCCTCATGAGATATTTTCATAAGCACCACTGTGCCAATTGTTTTTTACATGTTGCTGTAAAAATAATTAGCTTAGCGCGCTTACAAAAATACCTCTCAGGGGGGAATGGGGGAGTTGGCAAACTAACGTAGAAAGCACGAGTTATTTTCATAAAATATGGTACATGTGAGTGTGTGTGTGTGTCTGTGTCTGTGTGTCTCTGTGTCTGTGTGCATGTGTGTGCCTGCATGTATGTGAGTGTGTGTATAAGTGTCTCTGTGTGTATGGGTGTGTCTGTGTCTATGTGTATGTGACTGTGTGTATGTGTGTGCATGTGTCTGTGTGTCTCTGTGTCTGTGTGTATGTGACTGTGTACAGGAGTGTCTCTGTGTGTGCATTTGCATCTGTGTCTGTGCGTGTGTGTGACCGTGTGTGTGTCTTTGTGTGTCTGTGTGTATGTATCTGTATCTGTGTGTTTGTAAGTGTGTGTATGAGTGTCTCTGTGTGTGTGTACATGTGTGTTAACCTCTCCAGGTCTCAGCATTCTTACCCTTCTTCGGTGGGATTTTTGAGCATTACCTTTACATTGACCGGAAATAACTTAGCTGGAGTCATGGGTCCCATGAGGTGCTCAGGCTGGATTGCAAAATCATTGGCTACCATTCACTCACGGGACACTTAGGAAATGACATGCTGTCATCAAAGAACCTGCATAATTCTAACTCACAAAAAAAAGACCAGATTTACTGGCCTAAAGGAGACTGGAGAAACCCCGAGAGGATGGCCCCCAGACACCCTTTCAGATCAGTGGTGAAGTTACCTCCGAGGTTCACTGTTCAGCCTGGGAGTGGACAGCCCCGTAAAACCAAATGAGACTAACGAGGTACAGGAGTCCAGTGA